AATGTAGAGGTTGATTCTGAGTTTTGTGAATTGGGTTATGTTAAGGAGGTTAATTGGATGTTTAATCGGTTTAGATTGTTGTTAGAACTTCAATTGTTCAAAATAGATATTTGGGCATAGAATTCCTATAGTGGGTCCTTGAGGTTATGAATTTTAATTGATGTTTAGAAAGGAATTAAGGTTTTAATGGATTGGTATAACCATGGAGTGTTGCCTTGATAGTTATACCCTTTGAGTTGGGTAGAGTTTTGATGGGAGATAGGAATTTTGTGTCCCCAAGTGTTGTTTTGGGCACATTATTAGTTTGAAAGCTAATATATGATGGTTGTGTGTTTGTGTGCTTGTGTAGACCGATTGTGAGTCTTGGTGGTACACGGGGCCACATCGTTGGTTTGTTGTTTCTTGCTCAGGCGAGAGATAACCACTTTCCAATCCTTAGTACTTGCTTCTGTGGTATTGTGAGTAGATTTATGTTTTGTGCTCTAAGTAGTAATTATGTTCAAACTATATGTTGTATATAAAAAGGAAAAACCGTCTTGTGGGGTTTCGATTGATGATGAATGAAATATTGAAATTGTGAAGGATATGCCACTGAATGAAGTTACTTATGAAATGTTCGACTACTATTTGATTATGGTTTGAGCATGATGCATGAATTGGGATTTGGTGAGAGTTTTTGATAGTTACTACCACGTGGTAAGGCCTCCATTAATGCATGATAGTTGGCTCTTTACGTCCCCCATAGTGAGGGATAGGCCTTTTGGCTCCCTACGTCCCCCAGAGTGAGGGATAGGCCTCGTATGGCTCCTTACGTCCCCCATAGTGAGGGATAGGCCGGGTTCGGCTCTTGAAAATCCCCAAAGTGAGGGATATGGTTGATGGGAATTGCATCATTGCACTTGCATGAATCGTTGTGGCTATCATTTATTATATTACTTGTGAAATGCCCCACTTGACACCTCACGAGCACCTATTTAGTAGTACCTAGTATTGGAAAGGTTGGTTACTGGGACTTTGTCTCACCCCGTGGTTTACAATGTTTTCAAGTGAAGGTTCCGGGCGTGGGCCATCGGGAAGAGACGCAGAGGCTTGAGCTTGGTTAGCTTTAGGCCTCTAGCATTTGTATATGTATGGCTAGTATATATTGCCACATTTAGGACTGCTTTTGAAATATTTAATTACCCGGCCTTGTTGTAAACTGGAGAGAATGTATCTCCTTATTTTGGTTGGCCGAAGGCCATTGTTAATGTCTTATGAAACTCTGGATTATTTTGTTGGGAATCTTTTAGATGGGCTGATGTGATGTGTTTTGTTACCCGGGCCAGAGGCTCAGAGGCCCAGTAGATGTAAATGAATGATTTCAATTGCATGCAACGGATTACGGGTTGACCCGAGTTTGAAAGTCAATTTCTAAAAATATGAAATTTTCCTTCTACTATGGTAGTTCATTTTAACGGATTTCCTTTTCTACCATAGTAGTGATTTTGTGATGAGTTATAATGTTTTTAAGGTTAAGGGTTTTACATGTACGGCCATCAAACTCGTACATGGTAATGTGTATGATTATGTTGAAGACTGCTAAAAGATTACAACACAAGAGAAGATTTATAGAAGGAGCATGATACCTGTTATAACCATTGATATGCCAAACCCAAATAACTTAAGGATGGAAAATATAATGGGACAAATTTTCCTCCAACCACCTCAGACTAGTCGACCTCCTAGAAGACGAAGAACTACGAGGCGCGAATCACAATTCCAAAACACAAAAACATACCATTGTTCAAGATACCATCAAGCTGGTTATACAAAAAAGACTTGCAAGAATCCAAATCCTTGTTGAAATTGGTCTAGCAAATAGATGATTTTTTTTTTTGGGCATATGTAATGTGATTATTGATGCACCTGATGACTAATGAGGATGTGGTCTTTTTTAGATTTTATGTCAAAGTTGTGTTTCATTATTGTGAACGTTATGTCAACTTTAAAATTTATAGCCTTTTAATTATTTTTTATATAATAAAAATTTGATATTGAATAAATCTTGGGGACCGAAAAATTGAAGATGAATTGATGAGTCTCAATGTAATTTGTGAAATAGTAAAATTAATTTTGATAGATATTCAAGAATTCCGTGAATCTTTGATTTGATTTTTTTCTTTCAAAAAAAAAAATCTTTGATCCTATTAATCTTTGATATTTGAAATCGTAAAATTTTTATTAGTTCCCATATTTTTGTAATTCTATGGATATCTAGAAATTATGTTTTTTTTATCTTGACTTTTCAATTATTTTTTATTGGCCATAATCGTGATTTTTCTTTTTTTGTTTTGTTTTTTTATATGATAATGTTTTTCGCCAAATTTTCATATAATAATGTTTAAAGAAAAAACATGTTAGTTAAATTCAGTTAAAAGAATTAAAACTAAAATTAGGCTTTTTAATAACGAATGGCATTTTGGTCTTTTAACAATATTTAGAAATTCTCAATTAGACCTCTTGGCCTAATTAAGAATTTGTTAAAAGTGTAGGTTTAAATTAGGATTTTGTTGTTTCAAATGGATTTAATTAGAATTTTCCCTAATTTTTTTTGAGTTATTTTTCAATAAAACTCCTTTCTAATTTATATAATTATTTTAAAATTTTTAATTCAAATATCAAAACTTATGATATAGGCATGTGGTTCTATATTGAAAATAATTTAGGTCAAATTTTTTGTATTTATTATGCCTAGTTCTCCAATCATGCATACATGTTTAAAAGATTTTATATATATCTCCAAGCTTGAGAAAGACCTTCTAAGGAAAAAAAAAGTTTAATATTTTAAAGTGGTAGGTTTTGCTCCCAAAAAAAGAGTTATAAAAAGTACAGTCCTATGACCCATGAAAATTGATCCACTTAAATACAAAGTATAGGAGTATGGATTCAAAAGTTGATAATATAAAAACATGGTTAATGAGTAACTTATAAATTTTCCATGAAAAGAAACGAATAGCTTGTAAATATGTTTATAAATACGCCTTAAGTTGACATGTCCCGATATAAATATTTTAAATATTTTTTTAAACATTCCTTGTTTTGAATTTTTAAATAATTTTAAAACGACACCAGCCAGCATCATCTTCGCTTGCGTTGCTCTCCATTAATTTTAAAGCAAAATAAACTAACCACCTTTTATTTTACTTAAATTATAAAATCTTTCCTCTATTTTACCCTTAGAATTCTGTTGTTCGGGGTGTGTCCGTTTGATTTTCTTCACCTTGGAGCGATTGACACGTGTGATATGCTTGTATTCGTTATCGTGTAAAGCGAATAAAATAATGGAGAATATTGTCCACTTGTTCACAGTATGCTGAGGAGAATCCAATCAAAATCCCATATCATATCGACCTTTCCTTTTCTTTTTTTCGGTCGTGATTACGATATGTCGGATGACAAACTTCACAGAAATTAATTTGTGATGTGAAATTGCATTTTAATATACCATAAAAATATTCTTATGGTAAATAAAATATTAAAAAAATCACATAATGAAAATAAGAATGAATCATTTTTTCAACGCCGTGTTGATGCGAGCAAAAACAAAAGCTCATGACAATGAAACTTTGAGAATAAATTAAAAAAAAAAAATTGACTGAGTTATATTTGGTAACATAAAAGAAACAAAAGTATCCGACATAATTTGAAAACAATACGACTAAATTGTAATGCACAGAAGCAATTAAACAAACAAAGCCAACAGAATTGAAAGAATGTGAAAGTGGGGCCATCGAGGTCCCTCCACAAACGTCGATTCGGCAACTGTAGTAGTATAATGATGGAGATATAAATATATAAAATCATGAATACATGTTTAAAAGATTCGGAAAAGTAAAATTCAAAATTAAAAAGACGTCCTTCATCACCTGGTCATAATCGTGTATTAATAGGCCTTAAGCCGCTCATCTAAAAGCAACCAATCGAGTACCATTAATATAATGCACGGCTAAATGAAGCACAACCACTTGTTGAAGAAAATCAGCAAACTAGCAAAGGAAATGCTTATCGAATCACAACATAAAATGCCTATCAGCGGAACACAGATCATAAAACGAAGTGATGGCAACAAACTTCGCCATTCATTCCAATTAATACAGCTAAGAATTAAAAAAAAAAATTTTAAAAAAAATGCTGATATTACTGCAGCATAAGGCCACAAAAGACGCCCCCAAACTTAATGCTGACCAATCTCCTAGTAAATCTGAAAACTATAACAGTAAACGACCAAAGAAGATGGTGCAAAACACTGCTATTAACGTAGAAACAAACATTTTCATGACTCTATACTACGATTTCTATGTGCTTTAGCCTCACTAAGCATCCTACTATGTATATTTCATACTCCTCCGGTCTTAAATATAACAACCATTTTGTAGTGCAAATTGTACTAGAAAATGGGTCTTATATTTAGGACCGGAGGAGTATTTCTTTTATAAACATCAATTGCAATGATTAGGAATGGTTAACAATTACTTTCCCATCCTCTTGTAAAATTCTAACCTCCACTATCATAACTAAAGAAGAAACTTAAGCTATTCCTGATAAAGAATAAATTTAGGACGAGGATATTCATCAACAATACACTAAAATCTATGATCACTTCACCACAAAAAAATTGATATTTGGGCATCTCACTTTCATAATACTTTCCCAGCATATCTTGTTTCTTCATAGAAAGATATGCAATTTCCTTTCCATTTTTTAACAAAAATTAGGAAGAAAATAGAAAGGAAATGACAACACCAGGAGTATTGCAAGCTGGACATTCTCTTGTTCCCATACAAAGAAAAAGTACATTGCCAGTGGAAACATATGATACTTGACCACATATTAACAGTACATAAAAAGACAATTACCCATCAAACCATATTCTTGCCAGACAAGTCAATTAACTGTGTAAATTCACAATACAAGCTTTTGCTAACCACTCATGGCAGTTAACATGAATATTTGTGGCAAATGAATTTGAGGTGCAGTAGATCTCACCTTGTTTTATTTCTTCAGCACGCCTCGATCAATCATTCTACTGAGAACCTTATCTGCCTTGTCATTCTCATTGTTTTCAAGAAGATATGGAATAACAATGTTGAGAGTTATGGAATCAGGGAGGCAATTGTTCTCTTCCATTCTATCAAGCAAGGCCACGGCTTCATCAAGAAAACCCTCTTTGCAAAGTCCATGAACCATAGCAGCATAGGTACGCACATTTAGTTGATAACCTTTAGCCAAAAGGTGCTGAAAAGCGTCCCATGCATCATTTAATCTATCACCTTTGCACAAACCATCAATAAGTATAGTGTAGGTCTTCACATCAGGCCGAAATCCTTGATTGACAATTTGCCTAAATAATGTAATTGCCTTGTCAATATGTCCCATTTTGCAAAATGCATGTAACAAGATGTTATACGTGCTTACGTTAGGGCGAAGGCCCCTATCATGCATCTCATAGATAATATACTGTGCGCATGAGATTCTTCGTGATTTGAGCAACCCATCAATAACAGAATTATAAGTTACAACGCTAGGAACCAAATTTCTGGAATCCAGTTCCTTAAAAAGATCCATCGCTTCATCCACCATTTTCATCTTAAAGCATGCGTTGATCAAAATGCTATAACTAACAATGTCAGGTGCCAAACCATTTTCAATCATCTTGTTAAAAACTTCCTTAGCCTCAATGATATTATTGGTCAAAAAATGTCCATCCATCAAAGCATTATATGTAACAACATCAGGTCTCCGATCACTCTTCACCATCCTAGCAAATACAGCTTGAGCTTGTACAATCCTCCCGTCTTTACATAATGCATCAACAATAATGTTGAAGGTATAAACATCTGGTTGTATGCCTTTCGATATCATTTCATTGAGTAATTGATTTGCTTGCTGCCATTGATCCATCCGACAAAAGCCATGGATTAGACTATTATAAATAACAACATTTGGAGGTACCCCATGATCAGTCATTTCAAAATACAGATTGTGTGCATCATTAACAAGTCCTTCTTTACAAAGCGCAACAATGATTGTGTTGTATATAACTGTGTTGGGCTTAACAAGATGCCTCCCCATTACTTGAAGCAATTTAAGAGCAGATGTTGTTTTCCCCAATTTACACAGCCCGTTTGCTAATGTTCCATAACTAACTTCATCTAACTTCAATCCTTTTGCCATTATTTCATCGTAGAAATCTAGAGCTTTGCCAACATTTTGATTAAAACAGAGTCCTTTTATTAGTGTAGTCAAAACTACAGCGTCTGGTTGATAGCCCATTTTGAAAATTTTCCCGAATGTAGAGTAAGCAAAATCCATCTGACTAACGTGGCAGTAACAATTGATCAAGATGCTCAGGTTAAATAAATCTGGTGCGAGGCCCTCCAACTCGGCTTGTGCTAAAAGTGAGATAACCTGGGGATAATGTTTCATCTTCACTATAGACCCTAAAATCTTATTGATATGGCTTCTAGAGGGAGGGGGCGGCATGTGGAGCAGGCGAGTGACTGTATCAACAGCGTCGCTGATGTTGTTGGGTTTTGGGGAGTGGGAATGAAGATAATATTTGCGAGTGAGGCAACAAGAGGAGTGAAGGAAGTTATAAGTAGCAAAGACAGGAAATTTGGTGGAGAAGGAGTACCTTGCAGCAGCTGAAGAAAGCATATTTGGGATCAGATTGAAGGAGGAGTATCTGCGATGCCTCAACGCTTCTTCAGTTCACCGAACAAAAAATTGCACAAAGCTTTGCCCAATGAATCAAATCGAAGCCTGAAAGCAGGGTGAAGCCAAGGTGTGATGGAAGAAACAGAAACTGAGGTAGTGACTAGTGTGTTCCGTCTCTCTCATCGGCCGGGGAAAAATCTACCAGGCAGGCCTTCGTATTTGGGTAGTCCATTTATTTGTTTGTTTATTAAAAAAAAAAAGGCCGAGGATGGTCCATTTAATCAATCGTTAATGTGGGTACTCTTTCTTCTTTTTTTTCTTTTTGTTATTTAGGCTAATATTTAATCAGGACTTCAAATTTAAAATATAAGAACAAATACAAACAAAATATTATGGTTTTGCTAAAAATTAGATATTTATTTGTTTTTACTCCAAGGAGTGATTGGATGCTGAGGATAAAGATAATTGCCTGATCTTTATATGAAATAATAACGTTAATTTTTTTTTGAGTTATTTTTCAATAAAACTCCTTTCTAATTTATATAATTATTTTAAAATGTTTAATTCAAATATCAAAACTTATGATATAGGCATGTGGTTCTATATTGAAAATAATTTAGATCAACTTTTTCGTATTTATTATGCCTAGTTCTCCAATCATGCATAGCATGTGTTCTTTTTTAATTTTATGTGAATTTATATTTAAATGTTATTAGATAGTAATATTTTAAAATTGGGATAAATGGTGTTGTGTAATTGAAGAATTTGATAGAATGATTATAACTAACTTAATATAAGTACCGGCTAATATGATAGTAGTATCAAATAAGATAAAATTTATAAAAACTTATACTGCATCATGATATAACTTAGGCTTCACAGTACTTTTACACCCCACCACAAAACATTTGTTATCTACAGTACAAAGAAAATAGTAAAAATGGCATGGAAACAAAACAATAATTTCCCACCATAAACAACAGGGGCGTACATTTTGTTGCAAGCCAACCCAACATATTTTTCTTGACCAAAAAAAAAAAAGACAATAACATGTATAGTCATACACAAGTAATTCAATAATTAAAGAGTCTTATAATAAATACGTAACATACAATAGCAAGTTCGCTTCCTTGTTGTAAGGTCTTTTAATAATTAGATTGCTTATATAGAACTACACAATAATCTGTCCTAATTTTTATTTTGAAACCGAAGGTGTTGTTTGTGTTAGAAAACCTCATCGGGTCAATATTCCATTTACTCATTTGATTGGTGCAATAACTAAGGGTAATATCCTAACTACTAGCTATGATTCTAATTATATGATCTTGTTTGTAGACTGTTTGCAAACAAATCTTATAATTAGAACCGAAATCTGAAAGTAGCAGCATCAAAACAATGCTTTTCAAAAGAAAAATTTAAACAAAAATCTAGAATTGAAATGGCCAAATAAAAGCGTTAATGATAATGCTATCCTTCAAACCCCACTCTCCAAGTATTGGGGTGGTAATATATCAGGTTCTTATAAAATTAAAGATGGGGTGGTTCTTCTTTCTCAATCTTTGAATCATGATGTTATGGGCATTGATGGATTCTGGAGATTCTTTTGGAAAATTTAGCTACCATTCAAACAACTGCTCCTTATTTAGAAACTTTTACATAATGTCTTATCCTCTTGTTATATTTTAAAGAAAAATCAACCATTCAAACAACTACTACTTATTTAGAAACTTTTACAAAATGTGTTATCCTCTTGTGATATTTTAAAGAAAAATCACTTGAACTTTTTGGGCTTTGTCTCTTTAGATGTGAATACGAAGAATCTTTAGAGTCTTTATTTATCTCAAACTCTTCTTTAGTTTGGATGCTTTCTTATCCGAATTCCCAAGATAAATTTCGCAAAATTTAAAGTATAGTTAAAAGAAACACTTGTTCATCTTCATCAAGATGGTTTTCCTTCTCTAGTTTCTCGAATTATTTGTTTGTTTAATACAACATGGAGAAAGCGCAATTATGTTTTGCATTATGAAAAATATGACTCTCCAATCTCCATCATTCAAGAAATTCAAAATGCCCAATATTTCTCAACTTTAGCCTTCAAGGATTTTTCAAAAGAAAAATTTAAAATAAAAAGGAAAAATCGAAACGGCCAAATAAAAATGTTGATTGCTCGATTTGTTTTTAACTCCACTAAGAAAATGAATCCCATTTTCATTAAAAAGCATCACCCTCAAATTAAATAAAAGTTTTTCTTCTAAGTATAATATAATAAAACAAATTAAATAAACATATGATTTTTTTCAATAAATGATGTTTTGGTCAAAACAATATTGTGTAGCTCCAAGCATGAAATAATATTCTGTGATACAATACCCATACAGGCATTATTTTGTACAATGAGTCATTGACATCAAATATTTTATATTTTCACAGTATAATAATAACTCTACCAAGTTTTATTCTTCACGATGTGACAAATTAATCTCAATTTTAAGATGTAGATTGGGCGATAAACATATAAAATCATACGTATATGCTCAACAATTTCGACATGAAAAAATAATAGTAAAAAAACTAGTTTTAAATAAGTATTTTTAAATTCAAAATTTAGAAATTATAGAAATTTTTAAACATAATTTCTAATAATATAAAAATCAATCAAGTATCATTAACATAATGCATGGGTGAATGCCGTCATATGTTTTAATTTCCATACAATATATAAAAATTGATTTGGCACATGAGGAGAAAAATCTACTAGTTTTGTTTTGTTTCAATGATGTGAATACTGTCTTTGCTGAATCTTCTATATAATAATATATACATTTTTTGATTGACATAATATATACATTTTAACATTTCTGTTAGTAATATATAGTTCATGGTAAAAATGTATCAAAATATTATGATTTTGCTAAAAATTATATATTTATTCATTTTTCTGAGAAATTGAAAAAAATTTTTTATAAGTTTGGGTATCTTCAAATTACTTTGTACTTGATATCAACTTTTGTTAAAACAGGAATGTTAATGTTAAAACCTTTCTAACAAATATATTTTTAGGCTCTGAATTTAAGTTTTTCTCCTTTAGAGTAAGATATTAACAATAATAGAATATGTTTCCAAAGAAAAAATCGTAAAAAAAAAATCTTAAAAATAGAAAAATTGCAAATAAAAACCCTTCACAATATTAATATTCATTTTGACAATAATTTTTATGAACAAATCCTTAGATGCAACTTTTCAATTTACAAGGGCTTTTTTTTTGCGATTTTTTCAAATAAAAATCCAGAATTGAAAAGGCCAAATAAAAGTGTTGATTGCTTGATTTGTTTTTAACTCCACGAAGAAAATGAATCCCATTTTCATTAAAAAAAGTATCACCCTCAAATTAAATAAAGTTCTTTTCTAAGTATAATATAATAAAACAAATTAAATAAACATATGATTAATATACTCCTCTAGTCTATTTATAGGATAGAGAGAGAAGACATTTTTTGGTCCTATTTATAGGGCACTGAGAGAAATTTTTGCATGGATGTATAATTTTACCGTCATTTATTATTGTATTGACTTTGTTTACATGAAGTATAATGTATATTAAATAGGATAAATTAGAAAGTTATTAAATTTTAAATGAGAGTTAGTAAAGTTTAAAATTTTTCTTAATTTGTATGAAATATACTGAAAGTGTCTTATAAATAAAACTAGATGAGTATTAATTTTTCCTAATTTCACATCAAAACCGGAGGCGTTATTTGTGTTAGAAAGCGTCATGGCCCAATGAACATGTACTGATTGTGATCAGTTCGATAAGAGGTTAAAAAAAAAAGTATGCGTTAATAACTAAAAAACAGTATTTAACAATTTAAAGTGTAACGATTAACAACTATCGCGATAAGTATTGAAAACACATTTTTTCAGCACATCACAAAAATATAATGTATGAGTTATTAATAGCTGTTCTGAAAGTTGTTAATTCTTACACTTTAAATTATTAATAACTGCACTTTCAGTTATCAATACATACTCGAGGAAAAAAAAAACAAGAAGATAAGAACAGTTTGCTAATTAAACAAATAAAATGTCTGGCAATAAGGTCTTTTAGAATTTTAAAATAATTTGATGATTTCAAAAGACTTTTTTAATATTTAATTCTCTTAAGCGATAGCTAATTGCAATTTTTCCCGTAAAATATGTGTTCAAAGAAAAAAACATTATTTTACCCCAAAAGAAAAAAGATTCAAACAAAAAACCTAGAAGTGAAATTCATACATGTTCCAGTGCTTGCATAGAGGAAATGTGTTAATTGCTTGATCTGCTTTTAGGCACACTAAGAAAAATTGAATCCCATTTTTATTAAAAAAATCATTCTAAAATTGAATAATGGTTATTATTACTAAATATAATGTAGAAATGAATTTAAATAAATATATCATAATTTTCGGTAAATATATAAAATTTCAGGATGGAGATATAAATATATAAAATCATGAATAAATGTTTAAAAGATTCAGAAAAGTAAAATTCAAAATTAAAAAGACATCCCTCATTACCTGGTCATAATCGTGTATTAATAGGCCTTAAGCCGCTCATCTAAAAGCAACCAACCGAGTACCATTAAATATAAGGGAAAATTACACTCAGGTCCCACAGGCATAATTAACGTCAAAAAAGTCTCTCGAAATCGTGAAATGATTCTGAAGTCCCCAGAAACCTGTGTGTAATTAATTCTAATTGTAAATTACCTACTTATCCCTATTAATTTGAACCTACTTACAACCTCAAAGTGGCTGTTGACAACCCGAGAAGAGTGGTTAACAACTTCAACAATGCTCCTGGCATCCCACAGAATGAGTTATCATGAGCACTGCCGAGGTTGTCAAGCACGTCTTCTCGGATTGTTAACAGCCACTGTTGAGATTATAAACGAATTGCTGTAATAAAATTAACAGGGATAACTTAGTAATTTCATAATTAGAATTAATTACACACAGGTCCATGGGGACGTCACAATCATTTTGCGATTTCGAGGGACTTTTTTGATATTAATTGTGCTCTGTGAGACCTGAGTGTAATTTTCCCTTAATATAATGCACGGCTGAATGAAGCACAACCACTTGTTGAAGAAAATCAGCAAACTAGCAAAGGAAATGCTTATCGAGTCACAACATAAAATGCCTATCAGCGGAACACAGATCATAAAACGAAGTGATGGCAACAAACTTTGCCATTCATTCCAATTAATACAGCTAAGAATTAAAAAAATTTAAAAAAAACAAAATGCTGATATTACTGCAGCATAAGGCCACAAAAGACGCCCCCAAACTTAATGCTGACCAATGTCCTAGTAAATCTGAAAACTATAACAGTAAAGGACCAAAGAAGATGGTGCAAAACACTGCTATTAACGTAGAAACAAACATTTTCATGACTCTATACTACGATTTCTATGTGCTTTAGCCTCACTAAGCATCCTGCTATGTATATTTCATGCTCCTCCGGTCTTAAATATAACAACCATTTTGTAGTGCAAATTGTACTAGAAAATGAGTCTTATATTTAAGACCAGAGAAGTATTTCTTTTATAAACATCAATTGCAATGATTAGGAATGGTTAACAATTACTTTCCCATCCTCTTGTAAAATTCTAACCTCCACTATCATAACTAAAGAAGAAACTTGAGCTATTCCTGATAAAGAATAAATTTAGGACGAGGATATTCATCAACAATACACTAAAATCTATGATCACTTCACCACAAAAAAATTTATATTTGGGCATCTAACTTTCATAATACTTTCCCAGCATATCTTGTTTCTTCATAGAAAGATATGCAATTTCCTTTCCATTTTTTAACAAAAATTAGGAAGAAAATAGAAAGGAAATGACAACACCAGGAGTATTGCAAGCTGGACATTCTCTTGTTCCCATACAAAGAAAAAGTACATTGCCAGTGGAAACATATGATACTTGACCACATATTAACAGTACATAAAAAGACAATTACCCATCAAACCATATTCTTGCCAAACAACTCAATTAACTGTGTAAATTCACAATACAAGCTTTTGCCAACCGCTCATGGTAGTTAACATGAATATTTGTGGCAAATGAATTTGAGGTGCAGTAGATCTCACCTTGTTTTATTTCTTCAGCACGCCTCCATCAATCATTCTACTGAGAACCTTATCTGCCTTGTCATTCTCATTGTTTTCAAGAAGATATGGAATAACAATGTTGAGAGTTATGGAATCAGGGAGGCAATTGTTCTCTTCCATTCTATCAAGCAAGGCCACGGCTTCATCAAGAAAACCCTCTTTGCAAAGTCCATGAACCATAGCAGCATAGGTACGCACATTTAGTTGATAACCTTTAGCCAAAAGGTGCTGAAAAGCGTCCCATGCATCATTTAATCTATCACCTTTGCACAAACCATCAATAAGTATAGTGTAGGTCTTCACATCAGGCCGAAATCCTTGATTGACAATTTGCCTAAATAATGTAATTGCCTTGTCAATATGTCCCGTTTTGCAAAATGCATTTAACAAGATGTTATACGTGCTTACGTTAGGGCGAAGGCCCCTATCATGCATCTCATAGATAATATACTGTGCGCATGAGATTCTTCGTGATTTGAGCAACCCATCAATAACAGAATTATAAGTTACAACGCTAGGAACCAAATTTCTGGAATCCAGTTCCTTAAAAAGATCCATCGCTTCATCCACCATTTTCATCTTAAAGCATGCGTTGATCAAAATGCCATAACTAACAATGTCAGGTGCCAAACCATTTTCAATCATCTTGTTAAAAACTTCCTTAGCCTCAATGATATTATTGGTCAAAAAATGTCCATCCATCAAAGCATTATATGTAACAACATTAGGTCTCCGATCACTCTTCACCATCCTAGCAAAGACAGCTTGAGCTTGTACAATCCTCCCGTCTTTACATAATGCATCAACAATAATGTTGAAGGTATAAACATCTGGTTGTATGCCTTTCGATACCATTTCATTGAGTAATTGATTTGCTTGCTGCCATTGATCCATCCGACAAAGGCCATGGATTAGACTATTATAAATAAAAACATTTGGAGGTACCCCATGATCAGTCATTTCAAAATACAGATTGTGTGCATCATTAACAAGTCCTTCTTTACAAAGCGCAACAATGATTGTGTTGTATATAACTGTGTTGGGCTTAACAAGATGCCTCCCCATTACTTTAAGCAATTTAAGAGCAGATGTTGTTTTCCCCATTTTACACAGCCCGTTTGCTAATGTTCCATAACTAACTTCATCTAACTTCAATCCTTTTGCCATTATTTCATCGTAGAAATCTAGAGCTTTGCCAACATTTTGATTAAAACAGAGTCCTTTTATTAGTGTAGTCAAAACTACTGCGTTTGGTTGATAGCCCATCTTGAAAATTTTCCCCAACAGAGAGAAAGCAAGATCCATCTGACCGACGTGGCACTGACAATTGATCAAGACGCTCAGGTTAAATAAATCTGGCGCGTAGCCCTCCAACTCGGCTTGTGCAAGAAGTGAGATAACCAGGGGATAATGTTTCATCTTCACTATAGACCCCAAAATCTCATTGATATATTTTCTAGAGGGAGGGGGACGCATGTGGAGCAGGCGAGTGACTGTATCAACAGCGTCGCTGATGTTGTTGGGTTTTGGGGAGTGGGAATGAAGATAATATTTGCGAGTGAGGCAACAAGAGAAGGAGTGAAGGAAGTTATAAGTAGCAAAGACAGGAAATTTGGTGGAGGAGGAGTACCTTGCAGCAGCTGAAGAAAGCATATTTGGGATCAGATTGAAGGAGGAGTATCTGCGATGCCTCAACGCTTCTTCAGTTCACCGAACAAAAAAATGCACAAAGCTTTGCCCAATGAATCAAATCGAAGCCTGAAAGGAGGGTGAAGCCAAGGTGTGATGGAAGAAACAGAAACTGAGGTAGTGACTAGTGAGTTCCGTCTCTCTCATCGGCCGGGGAAAATCTACCAGGCAGGCCTTCGTATTTGGGTAGTCCATTTATTTGTTTGTTTATTAAAAAAAAAAAAGGCCGAGGATGGTCCATTTAATCAATCGTTAATGTGGGTACTCTTTCTTCTTTTTTTTTTTTTTTGTTATTTAGGCTAATATTTAATCAGGACTTCAAATTTAAAATATAAGAACAAATACAAACAAAATATTATGATTTTGCTAAAAATTAGATATTTATTTGTTTTTACTCCAAGGAGTGATTGGATGGTGAGGATAAAGATAATTGCCTGATCTCTATATGAAATAATAACGTTAATTTTTTGAGTTATTTTTCAATAAAACTCCTTTCTAATTTATATAATTATTTTAAAATGTTGAATTCAAATATCAAAACTTATGATATAGGCATGTGGTTCTATATTGAAAATAATTTAGGTCAAATTTTTTGTATTTATTATGTCTAGTTCTCCAATCATGCATAGCATGTGTTCTTTTTTAATTTTATGTGAATTTACAATTAAATGTTATTAGATAGTAATATTTTAAAATTAGGATAAATGGTGTTGTGTATTTGAAGAATTTGATAGAATGGTTATAAATAACTTAATATAAGTACCGGCTAATATGATAGTAGTATCAAATAGGATAAAATTTATAAAAACTTATACTGCATCATGATATAACTTAGGCTTCACAGTACTTTTACACCCCACCACAAAACATTTGTTATCTACAGTACAAAGAAAATAGTAAAAATGGCATGGAAACAAAACAATAATTTCCCACCATAAACAACGGGCGCGTACATTTTGTTGCAAGCCAACCCAACATATTTTTCTTGACCAAACAAAAAAAAAAGACAATAACATGTATAGTCATACACAAGTAATTCAATAATTAAACAGTCTTATAATAAATACGTAACATACAATAGCAAGTTCGCTTACTTGTTGTAAGGTCTTTTAATAATTAGATTGCTTATATAGAACTACACAATAATCTGTCCTAATTTTTATTTTGAAACCGAAGGTGTTGTTTGTGTTAGAAAACCTCATGGGGTCAATATTCCATTTACTCATTTGATTGGTGCAATAACTAAGGGTAATCTCCTAACTACGAGCTCCGGTTCTAATTATACGATCTCGTTTGTAAGCTGTCTGCAAACAAAGTCCTATAATTAGTATTGGAGTCCGGAGGTAGTAGCATCAAAAAAATGCTTTTCAAAAGAAAAATTTAAAACAAAAATCTAGAATTGAAATGGCCAAATAAAAGCGTTAATGATAATGATGTCCTTCAAACCCCACTCTCCATGTATTGGGGTGGTAATGCATCAGGTTCTTCTTTCTCAATCTTCGAATCATGATGTTATGGGCATTGGTGGATTCTAGATATTCCTTTGGAAAATTCAGCTGCCATTCAAACAACGGCTCCTTATTTAGAAAGTTTTACAAAATGTCTTATCCTCTAGTGATATTTTAAAGAAAAATCGCTTGAACTCTTCTGGGCTTTGTCTCTTTAGATGTGAATATGAAAATTTTTTAGAGCATTTATCTATCTCAAACTCCTCTTTAGTTTGGATGCTTTCTTATCCGAATTCCCAAGATAAATTTCCCAAAATTTAAAGTATGGTTAAAGGAAACACTTGCTCATCTTCATCAAGATGGTTTTCCTTCTCTAGTTTCTCGAATTATTTGTTTGTTTAATACAACATGGAGAAAGCGCAATTATGTTTTGCATTATGCAAAATATGACTCTCCAATCTCCATCATTCAAGAAATTCACAATGCCCAATATTTCTCAACTTTAGCCTTCAAGGATTTTTCAAAAGAAAAATTTAAAATAAAAAGGAAAAATCGAAACGGCCAAATAAAAATGTTGATTGCTCGATTTGTTTTTAACCCCACTAAGAAAATGAATCCCATTTTCATTAAAAAGCATCACCCTCAAATTAAATAAAAGTTTTTCTTCTAAGTATAATATAATAAAACAAATTAAATAAACATATGATGTTTTTCAGTAAATGATGTTTTGGTCAAAACAATCTTGTGTAGCTCCAAGCATGAAATAATATTCTGTGATACAAAACCCATACAGGCATTATTTTGTACAATGAGTCATTGAGATCAAATATTTTATTATTTCACAGTATAATAATAACTCTACCTAGTTTTATTCTTCGTGATGTGACAAATTAATCTCAATTTTAGAATGTAGATTCGGGCGATAAACATATAAAATCATACGTCTATGCTCAACAATTTTTGACATAAAAAAATAATAGTAAAAAATATAGTTTTAAATAAGTATTTTTAAATTCGAAATTTAGAAATTATAGAAATTTTTAAACATAATTTTTAATAATATAAAAATCAATCAAGTATCATTAACATAATGCATGGGTGAATGCCGTCATATGTTTTGATTTCCATACAATATATAAAAATTCATTTGGCACATGAGGAGAAAAATCTACTAGTTTTGTTTTGTTTCAATGATGTGAATACTATCTTTGCTGAATCTTCTATATAATAATATATACATTTTTTGATTGACATAATATATACATTTTAACATTTCTGTTAGTAATATATAGTTCATGGTAAAAATGTATCAAAATATTATGATTTTGCTAAAAATTATATATTTATTCATTTTTACTCGGAGAAATTGAAAAAAAATTTATAAGTTTGGGTATCTTCAAATTACTTTGTACTTGATATCAACTTTTGTTAAAACAGGAATGTTAACATTAAAACCTTTCTAACAAATATATTTTTTAGGCTCTGAATTTAAGTTTTTCTCCTTATAGAGTAAGATATTAACAATAATAGAATATTTTTCCAAAGAAAAAATCGTAAAAAAATCTTAAAAATAGAAAAATTGCAAATAAAAACCCTTCACAATATTAATATTCATTTTGACAATAATTTTTATGAACAAATCCTTAGATGCAACTTTTCAATTTACAAGGGCTTTTTTTTTTTGCGATTTTTTCAAATAAAAATCCAGAATTGAAAAGGCCAAATAAAAGTGTTGATTGCTTGATTTATTTTTAACTCCACGAAGAAAATGAATCCCATTTTCATTAAAAAAAGTATCACCCTCAAATTAAATAAAGTTCTTTTCTAAGTATAATATAATAAAACAAATTAAATAAACATATGATTAATATACCCTTCTAGTCCTATTTATAGAATAGAGAGAGAAGACATTTTTGGTCCTATTTATAGGGCACTGAGAGAAATTTTTTGCATGGATGTATAATTTTACCGTCATTTATTATTGTATTGACTTTGTTTACATGAGGTATAATGTATATTAAATAGGGATAAAGTTAGAAAGTTATTAAATTTTAAATGAGAGTTAGTAAAGTTTAAAATTTTTCTTAATTTGTATGAAATATACTGAAAATGTCTTATAAATAAAACTAGATGAGTATTAATTTTTCCTAATTTCACATCAAAACCGGAGGTGTTATTTGTGTTAGAAAGCGTCATGGCCCAATGAATAGGTCCTGATTGTGATCAGTTCGATAAGAGGTTAAAAAAAAAGTATGCGTTAATAACTAAAAGAGCAGTCGTTAACAATTTTAAGTGTAAGGATTAACAATTTCAGCAGCCAAAAGATACTGAAAAGTGTCCCATGCATAATTTAATCTACCACCTTTGCACAAACCATCAATAAGTATAGTGTAGGTCTTCACATCAGGCCGAAATCCTTGATTGACAATTTGCCTAAATAACGTAATTGCCTTGTCAATATGTCCCATTTTGCAAAATACATCTAACAAGATGTTATACGTGCTTACGTTAGGGTGAAGGCCCCTATCATGCATCTCATAGATAATATACTGTGCGCATGAGATTCTTCGTGATTTGAGCAACCCATCAATAACAGAATTATAAGTTACAAAGCTAGGAACCAAATTTCTGGAATCCAGTTCCTTAAAAAGATCCATCGCTTCATCCACCATTTTCATCTTAAAGCATGCGTTGATCAAAATGCTATAACTAACAATTTCAGGTGCCAAACCATTTTCAATCATCTTATTAAAAACTTCCTTAGCCTCAATGATATTATTGGTCAAACAATGTCCATCAATCAAAGCATTATATGTAACAACATGAGGTCTCTGATCACTCTTCACCATCCTAGCAAATACCGCTTGAGCTTGTACAATCCTTCCGTCTTTACATAATGCGTCAACAATAATGTTGAAGGTATAAACATCTGGTTGTATGCCTTTCGATATCATTTCATTGAGTAATTGATTTGCTTGCTGCCATTGATCCATCCGACAAAAGCCATGGATTAGACTATTATAAATAACAACATTTGGAGGTACCCCATGATCAGTCATTTCAAAATACAGATTGTGTGCATCATTAACAAGTCCTTCTTTACAAAGCGCAACAATGATTGTGTTGTATATAACTGTGTTGGGCTTAACAAGATGCCTCCCCATTACTTTAAGCAATTTAAGAGCAGATGTTGTTTTCCCCATTTTACACAGCCCGTTTGCTATTATTCCATAACTAACTTCATCTAACTTCAATCCTTTTGCCATTATGTCATCGTAGAAATCTAGAGCTTTGCCAACATTTTGATTAAAACAGAGTCCTTTTATTAGTGTAGTCAAAACTACAGCGTCTGGTTGATAGCCCATTTTGAAAATTTTCCCGAGTGTAGAGTAAGCAAAATCCATCTGACTAACGTGGCCCATATTTATAAATAAATAATAAAATATAAAGTTAATTTTTAAATATGTATATATATATAATCTAAAAATGTTTTTAGAATCGTGTGAGGCTTTTAGA